AAGTGAAGTTGTGAATAATTTTCTTTTAGGATTTTTGAAGTCATCTTTTCACTATTGTTTAGCCTTCAGCATTCCTGATAACAATTCTGAAGCCATTATTAATCCATATGAGCTTGCTAATGGGTGGGTGGATGGCATCCTCTCTCTGGAGGACTCCTAAAGATTTTTTCTTTTGGACTGGTCACATCCTTGGAGAGAAATTCTCCAATTTCTGTCCAGGAAACCAAGTTGGGGAAGGAGCTTCCTTGTTCAACATTGCAGCTTTCCATGAATCTCGTTTTCAGCTTGGCACCTAAACTCTTATCTCAGCTGTGCCTGGTGTCTACAGTCATTCTGTTTAATCTTACCACAGAGAAAATCTCTAATCTTCTGAGATGGTGAGGAAGTGGGGGCCTGGCTGTGTGGGGTGGTAGGCGATCTCTGGCAGTTCCACGACTTCATAAACAGACTTTCAAAGATTTTCCCTACCCTTTATTCCTAACATCAGAGGCAGTGTCTTCAGCTAGTACCTCCAATTTCTGAGCTTTCCTAGAGCTTTGCAGAGAAAAATGACTTTCTTCTTGTTGGCTACTATTTGTACAGGATTTAGATTTCAGTGTCACCTACTACGCAAAATTAGTTGATGTCCAACCAGCTATTTTCCATCGTCTAAGATTTTGTCACCACACTCATTTCTTCTTCTGTTTTCCTAATTTGTCCTTGAGTGTTTATATCATTTTAAATTCATTTACTACCACTTTTTTTAAAATTCTGGGCACATATAGGTATATACATTTATGGGGTACATGAGATGTTTTGATACAGGCATGCAATGTGAAATAAGCACATCATGGAGAATGGGGTATCCATCCCTCAAGCATTTATCCTTTATGTTACAGACAATGTAATTACACCCTTTAAGTTATTTAGAAATGCATAATTAAGTTATTATTGACTGTAGTCACCCTATTGTGCTACCAAATAGCACTTACTATCATTTTAAGTGGTCTTAGAAGGGGTGGGAGCAAAACAGGTATGTTCAATATTTCATGATTAATCAAAAGTCCTCTTTGCTTATTTGTATGTGTTTCAGTTTGGCATTAATATTTACTTTATGCTGCAACAAATTTTTATTTGTTCCAGTGACATGTCTACTATTGGTCACTGTTTTTATTCTTATCAAATTTTCTAGTCTCAATAAAAACAGAAAAACTGGAAAAGGTAATGGCTTGTATCTCTAGAATAGACATATCTTCCATCATCATCACCATCATCAAATCAATACTTATTGAATTCTAGCTGTGTTCTAAGCAGTGACCTGAAAACTTTTAACTTTTATTATCTAATCTCCACAATTGCATTTGGGTAAATACTATCACAACCCCCATTTTACAAGGTGGAAAAACCAAGCTTCAGAAAGATCGAGGCACTTGCATAAAATCATAAGCACATCAAAGAAAAGGATTTGAACCTTAATGGTTGGTCTCTAGACAGGTTCTCTAGACAGGGATGTGTGTAAGACATCTCAGGCAATGGTGTGCTTGGGAATCTCGACTAGGGGTTGCACCATTCCCCATGAAGGCATTTAGAAATGTGGGAGCATCTGTGGTGGTCTCAATGATTTGGGGGTGCTACTGGCATTTGGTGGAAAGACTCAAAGTACTACTGTCCTGCCATGCTATGAATTGTTCCCCAATGAAGAATGGGCAAATCCCCACACACCTATTGGTAGGTGTGAGAGAGAAGTGCTAATGAAAAGCTTATAAGCCACCCGGTTAAAAGTCATTGGTTATTTTGTATCCATGATTAGAGTGACCAATTGGTTCAGTTTTGCAAATGAGTCATCATGATGTCATCAAGAATTGGGGGCTGGCACAAACTCGTCTTCTGAGTAAGGTAGCAAATTCCAGCGACAAAACCAATAGACAGTGAACTAACCCTAAATTTGCCAACACTCTTGCAGCTTGCTTAGAGCCCCACTTCTTTGAGATCCAGGAGGGCAGAGACCTTTCTGATCTTATTTGCCACTTGATAGAGACAAAGGAATAGCTGGAATAGAGCCTGGCACCTAATAGATGCTCAATAAGTACGTGCTGAATAACAAATAAATATTCTTTCTCCAGGGTCGAGGGCCACATTAGGAAATTATGGGGTTCTTTTACAGGGAATAAACAGATAGCCAGGGATGGGTGGGATCATGATGAATGAGGCCTGAAAGCCAGCTTGTGCTCCTCACCAAGCTATGTGCCCTGGTGGAGGGTTGTGTCTGCATGGAGAAAATGTGCCATATTCAAATTCACGCAAAGATGCAATATGAGCTACCAGGAACCCAGTCTAGGGAGAAATTCTTGAGATATGCGTCTCTCACATTGAGGTTAAGTATGCTTTCAACAAATAGACTTTCAATACATAGAGGAAGCAACACTTCTCTGTCCCTGACAATGCTTGACCTGTCAACACTCAATACAACAAGACATGTTGGACTAGAGTTCATCTGCGGTGTGCCACCTCCTAACCCCCAGGACCCCAGGACTCCCCTGGAGCTACATGGGGTGGTAGAAAGAACACAGAAATCTACAACTTGAAGAACACTCTTCTTGAATGTGTATTTTTCCAAAGTAGTTTTCTTTGCCAGCACCTACTCTAATTTGGTGATTTTATAGAAAGCTTCTCAGGCTTGGTTTAATAAATATTTAAGTATTGATTATTTTGAGATCATTGGCTCTTTTTTACCATTCTGGAAACTAATTATTTTGAGCCTTGCCAATATGTTCCACACATCCATGTTTATATAAATTTGCATCATCCTACAGTGCTTCTTCACTGGGATGGTCTTGGTATTGTGAATGTGTCCATTCTTCACTGGGAGACAGCCCCTAGCATGGCAGACATTAGTACTTTGGCTCTTTCCACCAAATGCCAGTAACACCCCAAATCATTGAGAGCACCACAAATCATAAATTACAGAGAAGTGAGAGTTGAAAATAGCCAGGACTAAACATCACAAGAGACCCTAGGGGAAGCAAACACCTGGCAGAATTGGTCTCCCACATTCCTACTGCACATCCTTCCTCTTCCTCTTTGTCCTTTGTCCTTTGGAGTCCTTGTGATGAAACTGATCAAGCCCAGAGCTGCACTACATCAATGGGAAAACACTTCCAGTACCTTAGAGAAAGTGCAACAGGAAGGGTGTAGGACACACCGTTTAGAATTTCTGTTTGTTTTCGTATGTAACACGATATCTCCAAGTTCCAAATCTATACATCCGTCTGACAATTATTGCATGTACCAAGCATAGTGCTAACAGCTAGAATGCTTTGTTTTGTTTCGTCCTTACAACAGTTTTGCTCATCTTAAAACAGCTTTCACATTCCCATTTTATAGATGAAGAAACCAAGGGTTTAAAAAGGTATAAAACCTGGCCAGGCGCAGTGGCTCACCCACGTAATCCCAGCACTCTGGGAGGCCGAGGCCGGCGGATTACTTGAGGTCAGGAGTTTGAGATCAGCCTGGGCAACATGGTGAAACCCCGTCTCTACTAAAAATACAAAAATTAGTCGGGCGTGGTGGCCTGCGTCTGTAATCCCAGTTAGTTGGGGTGGCCGGGGTGGGAGGATCGCTTGAACCCAGGAGGTGGAGGTTGCAGTGAGCCAAGATTATGCCACTGCACTCACTCCAGCCTGGGTGACAGAGCGAGACTCCGTCTCAAATAAATAAATAAATAAATAAATAAATAAATAAATAAATAAATAAAGATACAAACTTGTCCATAGTAAACTGTCTCCAGGGTCTGTTCTGGCAACAGAATAGTCTCTTATAAAACTGAAAAAGGCTTGGGGGAGGGAATGGGGAAGAGGGGATTAGAAAAGGAAGTTTCAATTCAAAGCATGTGCAAACCTCTTCTCCCAGGGCATACCAAGCAGCATCATTAATATCTGACCTGTCACTACCAGCTGGAGTGCCAGCTCATTTCAGACCAATGAGGGAAAAAGGCTTTGCACGCAGTTTCCTAAGTGGCACTGGGAAAGGGGTGAACTGGCTGCTTCATTAATAAACCAGGATAGAATGTGGGCACCAGTGCCAGCCAGACAGTCTGCTGCTGCCTGGAGAATTTGGCTGCAGCATCGTTTCCAAACTCTCGGCAAAAAGAGTCAAGACCGGATATATGGGGATAGGAAGGAAGGGAGGAAATTGGCTGGTTGGTCTGAAGGAAGCGGATGCGACGGCTGCCGGGCCTCCAGGATGGGAAAAAAAGATTAATGATTCATCCACACCATTCATTCATGCATGCATTCATGTCATAATACTTATTAAGCATCTACCACGTGCCAGATTTTCTTCCAGATGCTGAAGATACAGGAACCGACAAATATTCCTGACCTCATAGAGCTTATATTCTAATGAGAGGGACAGACTGTAAACATACAAATAATTAAAATGCTATATCAGATGGAGAGAAGTAATTTGGTCAAAAGGCAGCAGAGAGGAAAGAACAGAGCTTGCGCGGGGTGGGTGGGTGGGGGTCCTGATTTTAAACAGCAATCACAGAAGGCCTCATGAAGTGACATTTGAGTAAAGATTTTGTGAAGATACCATGCTGGGCCCTGTTCTAAGCACTTAACAATTATTATGTCATGAATGCTCCCAACAACCCCAAGAAACATGGCTGTGATTATTCCGGTTTTACAAAGAGACTGAGGTTCAGAGATGCAGTGACTTCAGAGATCACATAGCTAGAAAGTGGGAGAATTGGGATTTGAATACAGGCTTGACTGAACTTCAGCGGCTGCGCGCGCTTTCATGTCGGCGCAGACGCCGTCCACAAACTGGTTTGGGAAAGGGCAATTTACGGCTGCAAGTGACCTTGCAGGAGCCTTGCAGGTGAGCACGAAGCGAATGTGGTGCCACCACCCGTGGGCAAGTGTGGGCGGACTTGACGGGGGACGGGTGGTTCGCAATTTTCACCGCGCTGAATCAGGGCTCTGCGTCTGTGGCCGGGGAGTTCAGTGGCCCAGCTGCAGGCGAGGTGGGCCGGTGGGGGAGGGGGCGCAACTGCAAGGGTTGTCCCGGGACAGTGCCGGTCCGAACCTCACCCCGCCGCCACCCCCGGGCCAGCTGCTGCAGTCAATAAGGCGAGGACCTAGCAGGCGCTCGTCGCCTTCCCGGTGGGGTTCGCTCGGGTGTTCCTACTAGGGTTGAAGAGGGCTAGGGAGCTGAGCTCCGGAAGGGCGGACGGGAAGCCCCAGCGGCCACTCCTAGAGAGGAGGGCAGCTCGGGAGGCCTGCGCGGAGAGGGCGGGCGGAGCCGCATGTTGCGTGGAATTCCCCAGTTCATTCCCGGGAGAGCTCTGGGCGCACGACAGAGCGGTGGAGGGGCGCCTGGGAGCCCTGGGGGACACCAAGAGAGGCGAGGTTAGGGCCAGTGCGCAACAAACAGGGGGGAACTACGACGCACTGGGTAGAAAGAGTAAGAGAGGCGCGCCCATTTTGCTGGTGAGGGGGGCACACGGGGAGCCCAAGAAAGACCTAAAGAGGTAGCGGGTGTAAGGCAGCCTGGGGGGCGTTAAAAAGCGGGTGCCGGAGGGAGGCAAGGAGAGGAGGCTAGGTGTGGGAAGAAGCGAGAGGACACTGTTGCCTGGACAGAGCGTGCCGTGCCAAAGAGCAGAAACGGGGGGTCAAGGAGAGGGCATCAGGAATCGCCTGGGGACCCCCCGGAGAGTGGCGGAAGCGGTGCCGTTGGGCGCAGCAAAGAGAGAAGGGAGCACATGCTGAGATAGAGACAGTCCCGGCCGCTGGAGCGCAGGAGCCCCCGGCGCCGCAGGGAAAGGAACGTAGAGCCTGCGCGCTCTGGGAATGCACTAACTGCCGCCCACTAGGGTGGCGCGCATTGGGGCTCTAGAAAAGAGGGTTGAGAAGCCCCGGGCAAGTGCCTAGGAAGGTCAGAAGAGTCAGCCAAGTCCACGGAAGAACTTCCCCGGGTTGGAGACGAAACGCACCCCGGGAGCTGGAAAGAAGAGGGAAGCTAGCCTGGGGGAAGCTTCATCAGGGCTCCGAGCACCACGAAGAGTGCAGAGGAGGTGCTGATGATTGCGGGGAGAGCTCTGAGAGCCTGAGAAAGGTGAGGAGGATGTGCGAGGACAAAGAACTCCTAGCGCGGGCGGAGCCGTGAGGAAGGGAGCCGCAGAGAGCGCGCGGAATCCCCTGCAGGGGCTCAAAGCCGCCCGGGTTTCTCCTTCCCGGCTGCCTCTGGCCCTGATTCACTCACCATGATGGAAAAGACCAAAGCCACGATGTTGATGGGGTACGCAGGGCAAAAACACGAGACGATGGTGAGCCACAGGTAGTTCTTGGGCGTGGGCACGTCCTCCTCGGTCTTGTCATCTTCAGTGTTGGCCTCGGGACTGCTGTCCAAAGCCCTCTTGAAGTCCGGGCTGGGGGCGTACTGAGACATGGGGGAGGCCGGCGGTGCCGGGAGGGCGGAGGAGCTCACGGTCTGTGTGGTCTGGGGCTCTGGCCGCCGGCTCGAGGCGAGGCTCTGAAAAGACAGCGGCTCGGGGCTCAAGGGAGACGTGACCTCACCCCTTCTGCGTCCTCTGCTAGCACCCTCCCGGGCTCAGGGACCCGGGCCAAGAGCCTCCCCACAAGGAGGAAGGGAGGGAAAGGAGTGAGGGGAGGCGGGGAGGACAGAGAGAGCGTCAGCCTGAGAAACGGGACAGGCAGTCGAAGGCATCCTACTGCCTGAAGGACACACCCAGAGATCGTCGGAGGGACGCACAAACTCATACTGAAAAGTCTGGAATAAAAGGAGGCTCAGAGAAGGAGGACGCAAAGGCCCATTAAGTTCCAAATTGGCCAGCCCTCGGGCTGAAGATGACCTGCTCATTTTTAAAAGCCACTTAATTCTAATACATTTAGATGGGATAGGACCAACCCTATCCAGTTGGCAACAGACTCACTACTTCCTCTTGACTTCAACGTTTTACCTTAACTGTCTGGTGCCTTGGCATTTGATTTGTCTCCTGTGCCTCAGACCTTGAACATTGAGTCCCAGGAATTTCTCCTCCCCCAGCCCCCTGCCCCAGATGGGGTGGGAACCAGGTGCCCAGCTTTGGCCTCAAAGTTTTCCACATTCTACTTGGGGCTCAAGAGACTAGAATCCAGTATAGTCAGTCAGTGGGCACTGCCCTGTCCATGCCCGTCCAGGTGCCCATTCTTTCCATTTTTCCACCTGCAGGACCCCTGGGGAGAAATGCAGGTAGATCAGGCTAGCCTAGGCAACCTAGATGGATAAGTGAGTGGGTTGGGGAGAAGAACAAGGTATCCACTTTGGGGACTAGAGCGAGAAAAGCAATTGTATCGGTGTCTAAGCTATTCATGAGAGGGCGTGTGGACCAGAACTGAGGCTCGAATCCAGACAGAACTGGGAAATTGTCACTTCAGGAAAGCCTCTTGGTCTTGCTAAGCCCCTATTTCTCCATCTGAAAAGGCGGAAATAATAATAGTCCCTGCCTCATAAAGGCGTAGTGACTCTTCCATGAGATGGTACATTATCCAGGTAAATACATGTGCTCAATAAGTATTAGCTATTATTAGCATGCTATTTCTCCTTATATTCTGAAACATAATAGTGCATTATACAGTATCCTAAACCTGATATCCCTTGCAAATATTTCACCAAAAAATCCAGGTATTCTGAGCTGCAGGACCACAAAGAAATGAAAATAATTTGATCATGCAGTGTCAAAAGCAATTGCTCGCATCATCATACTCGAAACTATTAATCATCTTCTTGGCTTTCTCAGAACATAAGCTGATTGCCTGGGAGATTCTCACTTATCTCATGAGCCATGCTTATTTTGTTACCTGCCTCCCTCATTGGACTGCACACTCCCCGAGAGAAAGGGTCATCTGGCTCATCTTTGTGTCAGCATCTGGCACAGTTCCTGGTACAAGGGATGTGCTTAGTATAGCTTGCTGGGTGAACACACAAAGATGAAATAGTACATTCTCCACCATGCCTTCTTTTTCATTTTGATGGATTAATGAAATGGGAATAACTAAAAGATTAGATTCATCTACTGAATTCTCAACCAAGTCTTTGCATTGGCTGTTCCCTCTTCCTCAACTGCTTTTCCCTGGCTGTCACATGGCTCCTCCTCCTCCTTTCTTTTTTTTTTCACTTTGAGACAGAGTCTCACTCTGTCACCCAGGCTGGAGTGCAGTGGTGTGATCTTGGCTCACTGCAACCTCCACCTCCTGGGTTCAAGCAGTTCTCTGCCTCAGCCTCCCGAGTAGCTGGGATTTCAGGTGTCCACCACCATGCCCAGCTAATTTTTGTATTTTTAGTAGAGGTTTCACCATCTTGGCCAAGCTGGTCTTGAACTCCTGACCTCGTGATCCACCCGCCTTGGCCTCCTAATGTTCTGGGAGGTTCCTCCTTCTTATTCCTCAGGTGACAGCTTAAGTCACTTCCTCAAAGAGAGATCTTCCTTGTAGATTTATCTAGTGTAGGTCTCCATCCTTATTTTATACTTGCCAGCTTGTTATTTTTTTGTGTATGTGTAGTGTGTGTCACAATGGTAATTTATTTCTTTACTTGTTCACTGTCTGTTCTTTCTCTAGACTATAACCTGTCCAACCTGTTCAGAACTATATTTCCAGCACTTAAGAATTGTCCTGGTGCATAGTAGGAATGCAAGAAATGTTTCTTAAATGAATTGACCAAAATTACCTGGATGTATTGAAAAAAAAGATTTTCAGGTCTTGATCAAGACCTACTTGGATTAGAATTTTCCAGGTAGCACCCCAGAAATCTGTACTTTTTTTTTTGAGACGGAGTCTTGCTCTGTCACCCAGACTGGAGTGCAGTGGTGCGATCTCAGCTTACTGCAAACTCTGTCTCCCGGGTTCACGTCATTCTCCTGCCTTAGCCTCCCAAGTAGCTGGGACTACAGGTGCCCACCACCATGCCAAGCCAATTTTTTGTATTTTTAGTAGAGATGGGGTTTCACCGTGTTAGCCAGGATGGTCTCAATCTCCTGAACTAGTGATCTGCCTGCCTCGGCCTCCCAAAGTGCTGGGATTACTGGCGTGAGCCACCGCCCCCAGCCAGAAATCTGTACTTTTAATGCTTGAGAAAACTGTATTTTTAGAATACTCCCTGGTGATTCTGATGCAACTGAGCAATTTCTCAGATCCCAGTCTGTCTCTAATTCTTAGGACGCAGTCCTGGCTCTTTAGCTTGGAGATCCTCTCAGGTGTCCCAAACTCAGTGTGTCAAAGAGGAACTCATTTTCTTCCCCAAGAACCTGCTTCTCAAGGCTTGGTCCTTGGTGAATGAACCCTGCCCACTTTTCCAATCTCTTCTGCCAAGTATCTCCTTTCTTATTTGCTTATTTATTTACTGTTTATTTTTTAGAAACAGAGTCTTGCTCTGTCGCCCAGGCTGGAGTGCAGTTATGCAATCATAGCTCACTGCAGCCTCGAACTCCTGGCCTCAAGCGATCCTCCCACCTCAGCCTCCCAAAGTGCCGGGATTTACAGGTATGCACCACCATGCCCAGAATTCTCTCCTTTCTTACTGCACTTCAGTTACATAGACATTGTCCCCCGTTTCTCCAACATACCTAACCTTTTCCCACCCCAAAGTCTTCTCTGTACCTACTGTTCCTTCCTCCTGGAATGCTTCCTCTCCTCTCTAACTATTGGTTCCTTCTCATCTTCCAGGACCCACTAACTCACATGTTACCGCCTGACAGAGGCCTTCCGTGACCATTATATCTAAAGTGGAACCCATCCTCTTATTCTCCATCCCATTACCTTGTTTATTTCCTATGTCAGACACGGTCGTTTTTATTTATTTGTCTTCTTATTTACTGTCTTTCCCAGTAGAAAGGAAGCTCCACAAGGGCAGAGATTTTTTTTTCCGTTTTGTTTGCTGTGTTATCCCAAACACCCAGGACCATGCCTGGCCCTTAGTAGGTGCTCAACAGATAATTCATTGAATGAATAAATTGTGAATTTAGTCATCCAAGTTAGGTACTTGGCAGCATTCTTCTCTTTCCTTCAGCCTCTCCATGAACTATTCATCAAAATACTGATTCCTTCTCAAAGGTGACTCTTCATTCCATGTCTTCTTTTTCCCATCCTCCTGGCCTTCCAATTCTGGCTCTTATTCACAATGAAAAAGTGCTCTCTGAACCACATTTGTGATCTGAGCCTAATTTATTTTTACAATATTTTTATTTTTATTTTTCCCCCTTCTTTTCACAGATGTCGATGAGGCTAGTTAATTTCGTTGGTGCCAGTAGCCCAAGGTTTGGGTACCAAATGAAATTTTGCTTTTCAAAGTTTTGAACTATATTGTTCACTGTAACCCACTAGTGTTATCTAGGGAAAGCCAAAAGAAGGGATCATTGACTCATTGTAGACTGTTTCTTCTGCCAGGAAAACAACTGTTTAACATGAGCCGAGCACTCTAGAATCACCAAACATTGACCGAGCACCACTGTTGCCCTAAGCATGTTCTCTGTGTGTATCATCTCATTTAATTCTTACAGCAGATTTTCTGAGGGAGGTGATGAGGTTTTCTTTTTCCCAAATGAGGAAACCTAGGAACAGATAGGTAAGGGGACTTGTGTAAATTCTTCTAGCTAAGAGGAGGTGCCAGAATTTGAACTCGGTCTGAAGCGTTTGTTCAGCTGGTAGGTCCAGGCCAGAAAGTTAAATGGATATCTCTGAAGTTTATTGGAGTTACTATGCTCTGCTCAGGGAAGATGGATTAATAGCTTGTTGACTGGTCTAAGATGTAGCAGTGAAATTGCCATCACTTGAAACTTTTCAAATTAAATTGAAAAGAAAGTGCCTGCACCAGAAAGTGTAATGTATATGGCGCTGATTCTTGAGGGATGCATTAGATCACTCAGTGGGGGTTTCCAGCTCTAATTTCCTGAGCTTCACTAATTTTCTCTTGAGAGGTCAGTTTATTGTTCTTGGATGAATCCTACTGGCTGATTGCTTAATAATGTGGCAATACCTACCCTCTTTAAAATGAGACAGAGGAGAAAGCAACTTTCTAATAGCCAGCCTAGAAGAGGGAAAAGGCTTACTGTAGTTTTC